GAGTGAAACATGCTGCCTTGGCAGTTGGTGCAATTTTGTTTGGTGAAAGCCCTAAAAAGAAAAGGCAACAACGTATTTGGACAAAGACATGGCTGAGCAAACGTGATTATTTCACTCACACCCCTGCCACGCTTCCGTATTTTTTTTTGAGAGGAAGAAGAAGAATCCTTGTTTGCACACGCCCACTAAGCGATATGCCCATGACGGCCGACTGAATCTCAAACATGTTAAATTTTCTCACGATTCCTGATTGGGAGGTGGCCGTGAGTGGATGATTGCCCCTTGTTACCCCCTCTACACTGCACAACACACAATCAGGCTAAAAGGCGGCCAGATCGAAAAATTCACGCACGACTGCAAAAATTGGACCGAAAATGCAAAAAATCGTACAGTGCATGCCTGGCTTAAGGTCTCTGGTGCCTGCATGGCGGCAATCCCCAAACCCGGTTGGCACCCGGATGTAAGAGATGCCTTCAAGCTGAAGAAGGAGACCTACCTGGCCATGTTGGCTACTAGGACTCTGAAATCAGTTTAGAGGTATCAGCGACCAAGCATGCTGCAGCTCGTGCGGTTGCAGTGGCAAAAACTCGGGTCTGGAAGGAGTTCAGAGAAAGAAGACATCCACTGTGGCCTCAACGGCCTCTACAGCACTGCAAGGCGGTCGGGGACAGTACCCCTGGATTGGAAGACCGGGTCTAGTTGCCTACCTCAGGAGTTGTTTCAGGCACGTCCTAGGAAGTCTTGTGGAAAGCCCAGGACATGCTGGGAGAACTATGTCTCTGAGCTGGCCTGGGGTCACCTCGAGGTCCCCCCAGAGCAGCTGGAGGAGGTGTGTGTGGGTTGGGGAAGTCCCGGAATTTCTGCTAAGACTGCTCCCTCCGCAACCTGGCCCCAGAGGAACATGTGGGATGGATGGATGGATGGATGGATGGATGGATGGATGGATGGATGGATGGATGGATGGATGGATGGGTGGATGGATGGATGGATAACAATAAAATCATTCTACCATCATGGAACCAATTATTAGATCAAATTTGTTTTATTCATTATTGTATTTTTCAGGTT